GCAAACCTGCGGATTTCAGCTGAGAGCCACAGTACTGAGCTCCATCTACAACACGTGGTCCCTGGTTGTGAGCTGTTGGTAGAGGCCATCAGAGGCGAGGGGTTAGGCCCTTGAGACCTTCCCTTCTGAGACCTGGTCAGCCTGACCCCACTCCAACCTGGGTCTCCTCCTTGGCGGTGCTGTCAGCGCACAGGCTCATGCGCATCCCCACCCACAACCCCGACCCTGACCATCTGTATTATATTTTAATGTATATGTGAATATATTGAAAATAATTTGTTTTTTCCTGGGTTTTGTTTTTTGTTTTGCTTTTAAGCCTCTATGTGCTAGGATCACAGAAGACTTTGTAAGGATGGTTTAAGTTCTCCTGCAAGGTTTAATTTGTTATCATGTAAATATTCCAAAGCAGGCTGCCTTGTGGTTTTGGCCAGCCTTGTGCTATGTTGATAAGATTGATTTACTGCTTAAAATCACTTTACTTTATCCAATTTTTACTGAACTTTTTATGTAAAAAATAAAATCAATTAAAGAACTTGGCATGTTTGTATATAGTGTTGGCACTGAGAGAAAGGAGGTGGTGGCCATGGTGTGTGAAGTCCAAGGTTAATCTTTGAGATTGGTGTTTATCCCAGGCCTTCCCCACAGGTCCTACTGTGACTGAGGTAGGCATCTTAGCACGTGCATTTCCAAGCAAAGGAAGTGGACCTGCCACCTCTCTGGCGCTGGGCTTCTTCACTTAAGTTAATAGGCCACTCGAGAAAGGTACTCGTCTTTGCCTTTATACCTTGTGACTGGCAAGAAGTGACTTCGCAGCCATGCTCATCTGATGTCTGGGTTCCCTGACTCCCCACGATGCCCCCCGCCACTGGGCTTGGATCCTAGAGGGGGCCCCCATCAAAGGCATACATTGCTGAGGTGGTAAGAGGACACAGGGTTCATGGAGACACACCCACCCTTGATGGACCAGTTGTCCGGGCGGTGAGAAGGGCCAGAGCGTTCAGGCCAGCCTGGGGCCCAGCCCCTCTTTGCAAAGAGGCTGGTCCCACCTCTTCCTCACTGGGGTGGTTTTGCTCAATGCAGCAATGCCCTTGGGGAAGAGGCTGGGGCCTGCCAGATCTTGGGGGCATGGTGCAGTTGTAACACCCACTGCCTGCTGGGCACTTAGTGCTCTGGTTGTGCTCCTTTGATCTTCTCAAACGGAGGCACAGGAATTGGTACTTTCTCGGAAGAGGCGACTCAGGTTCATAGAGGCTCAGTAATTCTTATCTTTGTATCAAAGATTGTAAAAAGAGACCAAAAAAAAAAACTAAAGGCATACCCATTAAATATGCTATTTAACAAGGTAGCCAAAGTATTTCCCATGGGGCTTCATACAGCCTTACACCATCAATCCTAACTCAAGCATATTATTATATCAGATGGAGGAACCCTAATTTAACCCCCTTAACATTTTAGTGTTATTAAGGAAGATGTTTCAGCTAATGTGTTTGAGCATATTAAAAAGAAGTATTTCTCTCTGGGGTAGGTTTCCCATGCAGAGGTGCAGGCATATGCACTGCAGCCAAGCCCAGCTTATGCTTTTACCCAAGGCTCCAGGTTTCACATTTTCCCAGGAAATCTAGGCAGCCTTTTGTTAAAGGGTGGTGACCAGGGAGTTGCCAGGTTTTAGAAAGGACCATTTTGAAGGGGAATTCTGTCATTTCCCCTGGAGTGTTTTGTTGTTTGTTTTTGTCAAAAATCTTTCCCTTCCACTCACCCTTTGAAACCTTTAGGCTCAAATCCCCTCAGTGGTGATGAGGGTTACCGGCTAACCCAGGGCCCATTCATTTCTCTCAGTGCAGGATTTCACACCCACTGCCGATCTCATCCTGCACAGCCCTCTAGCCAGCTCCCTGGTGTGATGTCTCCAGTGCTTTGGCCTGTTTAAAGCTGACCAAACAGAAGCCTTTCTCTCCTGGGTTACTGCCCAAGGCTCATCTCTGGGCGGTGCCAAACCTGCCCTGATCTTAAGGATGGGTTACAGGGTTAAGCAGCCCTGGTAAACTCTGAGGAACAGCAGGTGCAGCAGCCTCCCAGCACAGCCAGTGCTGGTCACATCTCCGCAAGGGGACGGGATCTAGCCTGGGCACCTGGATGGTGACTGGATCCACGTCTGCTGAGTTTAGGTGGCTGTATTTCTTCAGCACTCCGATCCTGATGGATGTCAGAATGTAGCATTGTTCCTTCTTAGGCAGGGCGTGTCTGCTGTAGCAACACCCTGAAAGCACAGTGACGGACCTACCGCTCCTGCATTCAGGGTGGCCGTATGTGAGGGGTGCAGGTGGTCTGGCTGAAGGTGCCCTGTCCTCAAGTAGGTGGGATGACCTGCCTCTCCTTGGCTTGTGTGGAAGTATCTTTGGACCTCCCTCTCCTGAGTCTGGAATGTGGGTTCTGAAAGGAGAACACTTTCTTCCTTTTTCTCACCTAAAGATGCCTGGAAGTCCTTGGTAACACAGTCCTAGTTTTCCAGGACCAGTCTGCCTCTTACTGCCTGCCCAGGAGTGGGGCAGGCTTCCAGCTTCCCCTTGAGGCTAGTCACAGCACAGATGAGGAAAATGGTCTCAAACCTAAGTCCTGAGAGTCCTAGCAGGTGGGAGGCTTCTGAACATGCCAGTCTATTGTTCTCCAGCTAAGGAAGCTTAAGTTCAAAAAGGAAAGTTCTTCCTAACACACTTCAGCTGGGGAATGGCAGATGCAGGATGTGAACTCTACTCTGCCCGCAGAATTCACCCATCTTCTGCGGGTGCACACTGCCTGCCAGCTCGGGGATGCCTTTCACCTTAGGGACCCCAGCCTTTTCTTGGGCCTCTGCCACATTAGTTACCCAACTGTCTCTCTCAGAGGCCCACGGAGCCAGACAGACCCAGAACAACAGTCCAGAGTTGCCTTTAATGTGGGGTACAAAAGTAGAAAAAACAGTTGAGACTAAGCATGGGGAGGTAGAGTGGGGGTCAGGGGGGCAGGACTGCTGCTCCCTGTCTGGCTGTCTCCCCCCACCCCCCCACGTCCTGACCCCTGTCCTGGAGGAAGGCAGGGGGAGGGGAGGGGACTTGTGTGTCCCCCGAAACAGAACAAGCCGAGGTCACCAATGCCAGGAAGCTCGTGAAGGGGAAGCTGCATGAGGTGGGGGTGGTGGGGAGCACCAGAGCAGGTTCCCTGAGAGGCCGGGCTGCGGAGCCACGACTTACACCACGGAGCAGCCCTCGGCCGGGGGGCCCAGGACCCGGACCACATCTTCACGACCCATGGCAGCGAGGGCGTCTGCTAGCGCTCTGAGGGTGGCACCACTGCCTTCCTGGACAGCCCAGTCCCTCAGCAGGGCAGAGGCGGGCCCCGGGCTCCGGGCCATGGTCTCCACTGCCTCAGCCTGGTAGCCCAGACGGCCCGCCAGACCCCGCCAGCCGTCGTCCAGTTCACCCGACACCTCCAGGAGCCGTTCCACTTCCTCCTGCTGCTGCCGAGGAAGATGGAGGTAGAGCCGGCAGCCAAGTTCAGGAGGTGGCCCTGGGGAGGGAGACGTGAGGGGCACGTGAGGGTTAGGCAGGCTCGGTGGAACAACAGGGCTGGGCAGGTCTAAAGGACAACAGGTAAGGGAAGGGGCTCACCTTGGCTGGGGGCACAGGGCTCCAGGCTGGCTGGAGAGTCCTGGAAGACACTGCTGTCCCCATGCGGCTGGTCCCTGCTGAGGGCCCCCAGCTCTGCGGTCCGAGCTTTGGCCAGCTGCTGCCTTTGTTTATGTGAGCGCCAGCTGTGGGGAGCAGGGGGAACCTGCCAGCCTGCTGCAGCCTTCACTGAGATGGCAAGCTGGCTGGGAGTCCAGACGGGGAGGGGGGTACCCCAGGGCAGTGCCCAGACCACCTACCACTTGAAGACCACGTAGGCGATCAGACCAAGGACCACGGTGGCCAGGAGGGCACAGTAGACAGGGATGATGCTGCCCGAGGCCCCTGGAGGCTCAGGGGAGAATGGGGAGGAGGTACTGGGGGCCAGGGCTCCTCCTGCCACTGCCCACACCCCTTCCCTGTCCTGCTCCCTCTGGGTCTTATCTGTGGAGAAAAGGACAGACAGGGTCAGCGGCAAGGAATCAATTTTGCTTGATTGACAGCGGCAGGAGTCGACTTTGCTGCTATAAAGGCTGGAAATCGTAGCCCCCTACTATGGGGTGACAAAAGCTCATACCATGACATCAAAAGCTGACTGGCTCATTCCCTACCGTCACCTCCCACAGCCTCCCCTTGGCTCGCCACGCTTGGACACCTAGCCCTGGATGTACCCTCTCCAAGTCGTCCTTGATCTCTCCCAGTCTCTCCCTTTTCTGGCTCCTGGTGCACCTCCTCTGTCTACAATGGCACCAAACGGTGTCCTCTCACCCCCACCGAGGCTGGTCTGTGCAAGCACAGTGATTCATGCTAGTCCGTATGGAAGCCTCTGTGCACAGGAGACCTTGCAAATTTTTACAAAATAAAACAACCAGGGGCTTCCTTGGTGGCTCAGTGATAAACAATCAGCCTGCCAATGCAGGAGGCATGAGTTTGAGCCCTGATCCGGGAAGACCCCATGTGCTGCGGAGCAACTAAGACCATTGTGCACCACCACTGAGCCTGTGTCTAGAGTTCGTGCTCCACAACAAGAGAAACCGTTTCAATGAGAAGCCCATGCACACCGAAGAGTAGCCCCTGCTCGCCACAACTAGAGAAAAGCCCTCGGCAACAAAGACCCAGATAGCCAAAAATAAATAGAACACTGAGCTGGAAGGCAAGTAAATGCTGCTGCTCACTTCTGCCGGCAAGTCAGTTGTCCCTACAATCCAGTGCAGGCAGGGCACAACAAGAGGCTCCAGAGCTGTGACGACCTGAATGCATGGATACCTCCCATCCTACCCAGGGCCCAAAATCTGGATCGAAAAGTACTTACCCACATGGACCATGGCTTCCCTGTGGCTGGAGTTCTGCAGCATGGTTCTACCAGCTAGCAGTGCTCCCAGTGGCTGCACTTCTTAGAAAAGGTTTTTGGAGTGTCGTGAGCTGCCCACAGAAAAAGGAGCTGGGAGACCTCTTCTCTGAGTCCAACAGGGGCTGTGTGTAGGAACAAGGGGGGAATTCCTCAGGCTGCAAGTCAGGAGTCCCTTGGGGTAATCTGCCCCCTCTGCTGCCTCATGTCATCCTGATTCATTCCAGGGCTGCGTACCTACCCATCTTCCCACTCACCAATCTGGACCAGTTTCCTCTGGTGTCAAATGGGGTGGAGCTGATACTGCTGGTCCCAGCTGGCCAAAGCTGGAGGAGACCACAGTGCAGCTGTCTCAAAGACCTTGGCAAACCCCACGTCTGAGTCCCGAGACAGCACAGGAAGACCAGGGGGACTCCCGTCCCCCATAAGCCAGAGCCAGGCGGAGACTCACTGGCTGATGGGAGCTCCCCAGAGTTCTCAGAAGAGCACAGTTCCTGGGGTGACTAACTCCCACTCCTGCCTCCAGGGTCAGTGTCCAGCCCTTACCTCCTGGTCAGGGGCAGGATGGGAGGCTTCCTTGGTTTCAGCAAACGCAGAGGGCATGTGGGCCCAGAGGTACCCGGGCCCTTTCTTATCTGGGAATTTGGAAAGGGCCTGCAGGCTGGAAATCTGAAGAACATGCAGTCCCAGGACCCTTCTGCCCTTACAGGGCTGATCCTGCTGGGACCTACCTCCTGAGGCCTGGGGAAGAGACCCTGGACTGGGCAGAGAAGGGGAGTTTGCCTGGAAAAGGGATGGAGATGAGACCTGGGGGCAAGTCCTGTAATTCCCCAACATCCACATCTGGCCCAACCCCGGCACTCCAAACTCACTTCCCTCCATAAGGCCAGGGGCGGATGTGGACAGCAAAACTGCACACTAGACAAGTGGGTCTGGCATGGAACCTGTGGCCACCTTTGCAACATGAAGGATGTGTATGTACAGTTGTGTCACTTACCACATAAGGAACCTTGCCTGGATCGGGGTTGGCGGGTAAGCCTGTGACTAACGCTAGCTTGCAGAGACAGCCAGGCCTTGTGCCCAATCCACCTCGAGCTGCCGCGAGACTGGAGCCTCTACCAACCCCTCCTCCACACACACCCATCTGGAGGCCCACAAATATGCACACATGCGCACACAGCAACATCCTAAACGCCCACACTACCCTGACTTCCCACAGGCATCCCAACCCAGATGCTGGCACCGCAACCGCGCAGATTTTGGGTCCAGAATGGGGGAGGTACAGAGAGGCAGCCACGGCTCCCTCCTTCCAGGAAGACCCGACGCTGTGTCCCCAACCCACTCCTGACCTGTGGTAGCTGACCCTCCGTCGGTCCCAGGATCGGCTCTGCCTGCAGGATGGGGCCTCCTGGCCTTAAGCCAGCAGGGAACACGCAGTGGAGTCCCTGGAGAGGCCAGGTTTTCACCCGGCGGAGACGAAAGCGGGCGGCGGCAGAGGACTGGACACCGAGGGGGCGGGGCGATGATGGGGGCGGGGCCGCCCACGGTCTGGCCCCGCCCGACCCAGGAACGCGCACATGCGTGGAGGTGAGCCTTAGTGGGACTGGGTGTGAAGCTGCCAGAGCAACAGTGGCCGGGGCCCCTAGGGACAGGGGTGGCGTACTTGGGGGGCTGAGGAATGGTGCAGCGTGGGTGCTCATGGACCAGGGGACGCCAGCCCAGGGCAGTGGCCAGGGCCGGTGGAGACGCGCGCACACATGCTCGGAGGCAGAACAGCTACAAAACTAGTCCATGTTTATTGCTGAGATGCGAGAGCGGGGGGCCGCCCTTAGGATTAAGGCCACAGCCCGGCCCCTTTGCTCCGCCGGGACCGGGGATCGGGAGCCTGGGCTCCCCACCCCAAACTGTGCAAAAAGTGCTGTGCGGCCGCTGGGGCCAGTGCTGGGACTCCGGGCGGCCCCTCTGCCGGCGAGGGGCAAGATTTCCTGGAGTGACATGGCCCGCCAATCCCTGAGCTGGGCAGAGGTGGGGCCCCGCCCACCCCCGCCTGGGTGTGGGCCGGGTGTTCCCCGCGGGCTCCGGGGCGGGGTCTACTGGGGCGAAGCCCGCTGGGGGCGGGGCGGGGCGGCGGGGCGCGGCGGGCTGTCAGCGCGCCTCTCCAGGGTTGTACTCTGTCTCCCCAGAGGACACCTGGGAGATGCGCCGGGAGGAGGACCGCCACAACTTCCGCGCAAACTGGCTGCTGCGCACCTAGTGGGAGCAGGGATGGGTCAGCAAGGATCAATGTTCCACCCTGTGCAAGGCCCGCCCTGCCCACATCCTCACCTCTGAGGGCTGCCCTGCGCCCACCACGATGAGCTTGCCGTCTTCCAGCCCCACGAGCACGTGGCTGCGCTCCTTGGTCACAGCCACGCTGCGGATTGGCACCTTCATGGGCAGGGGAGGAGCGGCTGGCAGCAGTCTGGAGGGAGGGAAGGACGTAATATGTACAAACTCGCAACTGCAAGGAGTTTTGCATCCAGCACATAGTTGTCTCTTCATTCTCCCACCCACCTCCCAGTCCTCATTTGAAGGATGGCTGGAGGAAAATCCTGAATAAAGGGGTCCTGTGCCTAAGGGAGGCCCAGGGCAAGATCTCCCCACTGGGGGATGGGAGGACAGAGATAGGCCTTGAAGAATGTGTCCACAGGCATGTAAAGGGGTGAGGGTCCACGGGGCACCTCCTAGTGTCCCTCTGCCAAAAACCACCACCTGAGGGATCACAGCATATTAAAAACCAGAGACATCAGTTTGGCAACCAAGGTCCTGTCTAGTCAAAGCTATGGTTTTTCCAGTAGTCATGTATAGATGTGAGAGTTGGACTACAGGGAAAGCTGAGCGCTGAATAATCGATGCTTTTGAACTGTGGTGATGGAAAAGACTCCTGAGAGTCTCTTGGACTGCGAGGAGATCCAACCAGTTCATCCTAAAGGAAATCAGTTCTGACTATTCCTTGGAAGGATTGATGCTGAAACTGAAACTCCAATACTTTGGCCACCTGATGCGAGGAACTGACTCATTGGAAAAGACCCCGATGCCAGGAAATATTGAAGGCTGGAGGAGAAGGGGACGACAGAGGATGAGATGATTGGATGGCATCACCCACTGGATGGACATGAGTCTGAGTAAGCTCCAGGAGTTGGTGATGGACAGGGAAGCCTGGCGTGCTGCAGTCCATGGGGCTGCAAAGAGTCAGACACGACTGAGCGACTAAACTGAACTGAACTGAGGGATCACAAACCCATAAATAGTGAGGCTCACTTGTTCAAGTGGAGGATGTGCAGGGCACACTGGGCTGTGCCCAGCAGAACAAAGTCCTCTGTCACCGCGAGGGCTGTGGGCTGCTCCACCAAGGGCAGTGAAGCCCGCAACCTCCCATTCACTGAGTACAGGTGCAAGGAGTAGGTGACCTGGAGGAAGCAGGATGTGTTAGCAAGGACAGAATCCCAACCCCCCCATCTTGGCTGGGTGCCCCTTTCCCATACCTGAGCCCCCAGACGCTCCCTTGCTGAGCTCTGCACCACAATCTGGCCCTCAGGCCCCAGCACCAGGTGGGACACAGGTCCAGGCAACGTGCTTCCCGGAGGGCTGAGTGTGGCCACAAACTGGCCACGGCGTACGGTGTGGATGATCACAGTTCCATCCTGCAGGAAGGTGGCTTAGGGTGCTGGGCACAGGCATCTGAGCTCCAGGGGCAGGGCCCAGCAAACAGCCTCCCTTGGGCACAGGCAAACACACACCTCAGATCCGGACACTGCCATGTCAAGTTCAGTGCTGATGGCCACACAGCTCACAGCAGCCTCATGCCCATATAGGACCTGCACGGGCTTTGATGCCAGCCCCACCGAGAGACCACTCTGTGGGGAACACCAGGGCTGGCTCAGGACTGGGGCACCCCACCACCTTGGCCCCAGAGTGAGAAGGCTAAAAGCTCAGAAAAGTGAAGGTCTGGTTCAAAGTCAGACAGCTGGAGTCCCAGACTTGCTCACAGCAGCAGTAGGAAGGGGAAGAGAGCAGGGTAGGACTGCAGGCCCACTGAGGGGCAGATGGGCCGCAGATCTGGACCAAGGGGGCCCCACGGGGCTGCCACCCAGCACACCTGCTGCATAAGCCGCCACACCATGCATGTGGTGTCTCGGGAGCCTGAGATGAGGTAGATGCCGCAGGTGTCCAGTGCAAGGCAGGTTACTACATCTGCATGGGGGAGAGGAGGAGAGGGAGGAGACGGGACGAGGAAGAGGGAGGGGAGGGGGAAGAGGGGAAACAGAGAAGTTATCCCTCCCTGGCCTGCCCGGAGCCCTGTGCCCCTCCGCACACCCCGGGCCCCCAGGCAGCGCGTACCGAGGTGGCAGCGAAGCTGGCTGAGCAGCCTGCCCCGGGGCAGCGCAGTCACTCGCAGGCTGCCGTCCCAGTGGCCACCACTGAACAGCAGCTTTCCGTCCGGGGCCACTGCCAGGGCCTGCCCGCTCACACCACAGCCTGGAACCCAGGGGCCGCTCAGCAGTCGCTGCATCCTGACCCAGTGAGGAGGACCACAGGTGAGGCCAGGCTACACAGGAGACCCTAGCCTTCAGAGACCTTGGCCAGAGCATTTAGAGCCCACCCTGGCCCACAACCCTCTGTCCTACTTGGGATTGCCCATGGTGGGGTCTTTGCTGAAGCTGAAGTAGTTGCTTATGTTTCGGTCATAGGGCAGCCAGCTGTGGGTCCCCAGCAGCCCACTGGCACTCACGGTCACCTGGGCAAGAGAGGACAGAGGTGGGCTGGGGCCGAGTCAGGGGTGGAGCTGAGGTGGGGCCCAGCCTGGGGCACTTACCAACAGGTCTGCGGAGCCCTGCGTGATGAAAGAGTGAGACTGCCGGTGGGGAACCAAGGCCAGCACCAGGGGCACGCCATCGCTGATGACCTGCAGGGGCAGGGTGGGACTGGCTACCCGAGCAGCCAGCTAGAGCCCCCAGCATGCTACCTTCTTGGCCTCCCCCCTAGGTTGTCGCATTACAGAGGGAGAGGTCACTCTGAGAAACATGCAGAGGCTAGGGGGCCTTCAGGGCATCTCAGGAAGTGAGTGAGAAACCAGATGGACAAGGAAGATCCTTCAAGCTTGGTTTCAACCTTGGTCATCCCACCCCACGACTCCACATCTCCGAGCCTGCTAGCATGAGGAGAGGAGAGCCTGAACACCTTAGAGCTGGGGGCCTTCTGGGATGCAGGCGGGAAGGTGAGGAGAGTATTGAGGCAGGATTCCCTCCTGTTCTCCCTAAGGATGATCAGGTGAGTCAACCTGGCCTGACCCTCCCTCCTGAAGACGGCACCCCACCCTCAGTGATGTTTGCCTCTTATTTCTAAGATGTCTTAATATCAGGGACTTTGATTTAGGTTTTCCATTTCCAAATGGCTGGCAAGGACCATGGAATTAAATGAACTTCACCGGGTAGGAAGCTGAGACCCCACCTCCTCTCACCTCTGCAAAGAAGGCCTTCAGCTGGTCCAGGTGCTGGAAGATGCTAGGTGAGTTAGTGTCCAGACGTGCAAGGCGCTGGGCTGCTTCCTCAATGGAAAGCCGAGCCGGATGGGGCTCCTGTGGGCAAGGAACCGTTCAGCACCGCGGCCAGGGCCTCCCTGACCACAGTCTTCCCAGCTGGCCTTACCTTCAGCAGCTGACAGGGCGTCTGCCCGAAGTTGCTGATGATGCCCTCCAGCGCCTTCCGCTCCCGCTCATCTGCCACCTGGTCCAGGTCCACAGCCCCTGAGCATCGGCAGGTGGGAGGTGCAAGGGCGGGCAGTCAGGACTCCTTCTGCGCCCCCTGCACGCCCCCTCCTCTGCACCCCAACCCCCACCGGTGTCCAGGGCACTGCTCACCCTCATAGGTACAGTAATAGAAGACATTGAGGGCCTCCTCCGCAGCTGGCCCCCGCTGCTTGTAGCCAAAGATGAGGTCGATCCACTCGTGCAGGTGGGCGGATACATACTCTGACTCCTGGGGGCAGGGAGGCGGCCGTCAGTCCAGGAACAATGGACCCTCCGCCTCGGCCCTCCCCTTGGCCACCCAACGGTATGTGTGCGCACATCTCACCAGCGCCCGGCGGTGCTGCTGGATGAAGTCCTCAGGAGAGCTGGCCCATGGGGGCAGCACCACGTCGCCCACCTTCTCGTTGGTCAGCTGGAGGCAGCCCAGGTCAAAGCCTGGCACGGAAAGCTGGGTCAGCTGTCTCGCTAAGCCTTCTTCACCAGCTCCCCAGCCACCCTCCATCTCCACGCTTCCCACCCCCACCCAGTGCCTACCGTTCTGGTTCTCCAGGAAATCGGGGAAGTAGAAGAACTCTGGGATGAGCTCCTTCACGTCAGCGGGGCTCTCCAGGCGGGCCTGCCAGGCTGCTGCCACTGAGTGGAACTGCCGGTCCGAGCAGTCGAAGCTGGGGAGGGGCACGGGCCAAAGGGAGGCAGCGAGAAGGGAGACGGAAGGAAAAGGTGTAGCCCTGGGCAAGCAGGGAGCCAGCCTGTCTAGGGTGCCTGGAAGACCCACCCTTCCCTCATCCACCCTGCCCCCCGCCCCACACCATCTGCCTGCCCCTGCGCACCGGCCACTCTGCAACTGGACGTGCAGGGAGGTGAAGGGCTCCACGCGGATGAGGTAGTGCATCACGCCCGCCGCATTGGAAT